AAATTGGCACTAGTAAGGTTTTATTAAAGCCTTCTTCAGAATGACCTACTAACATTGTTGAGAACTTTGGTTATTTTAAAAAACTTCTTAAACAGTTTGTCAAGGCGCCTACATGTTTTAATGAAAGAAACCTCTTTCATATCAAGGCTGACATGTAATCAATTACAGTCCTACACTAATATAGTTCAATACGCAAATACACGTGATAAGACTAAAGCCTTGTTTTAATTTATCACCCCTTATAGTGAAACATCTGGAACTCTCATAAAAGTAAATAAAAACCTGTTTGTGACGTACAAAACAAATGTTAAAGAAAGTCCGCTTTATAAAAGTAAATTTCCTGTGAAAGTGGTCTTTTTTTATTGTGACTATGCAGCCACTGGAACGTTGAACAATATTTCAGCACCATGTAATTTTTCTTATGAAGAGAGAGTGTCTGTGGTGTGGTCTGGCACGGCTTCTGTCCACATCCAGGGTTTTTTTCATTACTTTTGACAACTGCAGAGGTCGCTTACCATGGATAAGCAAAAAAAGAACACAGGGGTTGAGCAAAACTTGTCCATTTTGTTCTGTGTGTGATAAAGGATGTGGGGTCTGCCTCATTCATTAATCATGCAACTGCTTTGAAACAAAGCTGTTTTTGAGCAAAACTGTCGTGTTATGTATCAGTAATGCTTTTTATTATTACCGAATGTATAACAAAAATAGCAGCTATTTTACTCCCTCAGAATCAGAAATGTGTTTTTTATAACAACATGGCATTTTTAAGGTCCTACCTGTCACTTCATTGAACTTTGTTTCCTGTCAAACACAATTGGCACCTGGATTGGTTTAGACCAGGAATCTCCAACCCACACAGTTGCAATCCAGTAAGTTTTATTGGGGCCTCTAAATCACTCATGGTTCATAATCAATTAAGCAAGTATGTTGTGCAATTAAGAGAACTCATGTCTGTGAGTGCTGGATATTCTTATTCCAAATGATCTATAATTTTATAACAAATGACAGGAAAGTGATCACAAGTAATTTTTTTCCAATCCATTAGAAATGAGTGATATATTAGTTACCTATAAATCTCCACGATCAGTCTTGAGAAAGACTGGATGGATCACACTGATAAGTTCAAAACCTGATATTTTCATCTCCGTCTGTCCATCAAATTGGGTTAATAAAATGATTGCAAGTAGAATAGTAATGGCTGAAATAATACAGTTGATTAGAAAAAACTGACTGGGGGCTTGAATCTGTGGGCTATCCCTGCTACAATGTGGAGTATGACCACATTGCACAACTAACCACCACTGTCACACTCAGGTTATACTGTGCCAGCTATCACAATTAGTTTCATTTGCCCTGTTTTGTTGAGTGTGTTATGCTTAAAGATTAAAATGACACACATCTGGCCGGTCCTGCTTGTACTGAATTTCCCTGTTAAGTGTCTGAAAGAGCAGTGGGTCATTGGCAAGTTGCGCATTTTGGGTACCTAAGCACAGCAGGTGGTCTGTCAAATCTCATTATGACCTCTACTGTAAGGAATGTAACTCTCTGACCTGTAGATTCTCAAGGCCTTACTGATAAACAGCTCATTGGTGTAAGAATGTAACTCAGAAAACTGGAAACGTGGAGTACTAGACTCTAGAAGAGTAGCTTTAGTTTTACTAACACAAAGTTGTAGTTTTATATATCACAAATTATTTAAAGATTTTTGCTACACTGATGGTTTGTGTGTTGATGGAATGGCCATTATGACCACAAAAGTATTTTATCTTATTCAGTACAATTTATGTTTAGTAATGCATTTAAGGCACTTTATGAAGAAACATGATGGTTGAACAAAAATTGCTTTTCAGAGGTAATGCATTACTTAATGTATTATTACAAATCTAACTGTACATGCACTTCATAATTGATTTAACTGTTGACTTTTGTATACATTTAATTTATTGTTTATGTTGTTTAAAAGCTTTCTCCTCACTTGCTCCTTTATGGAAGTAATCCTTTACACAGAGATTCCCCAATTCTGATTAGTATGTTTCTAATTGATTATTAAGTTTACATGCTATTAATTCTTTTTAACAACCAGTTCTGATTAAATATGAGTTTACGTTTTATTCACAACACTACAATTATCCTCCTTTCATTTATACAATGTTCTTATTTTGTGTCAAATCAGAAAAAAGGGTTAAGGTACTGAAATTGCCTAAAATGTCCTCTTTTGCTGAAAGAAGTATTTTAAAAATATACAGAAGGCATTCTCTTAGGGGGCATGAAATCTTAGCAATCTTTCTGTGTGTTTTTGAAACACCTTTTACTGTAATTCCCGTATAGTTAAATTAGTACCATGCACTTGTACTGAAAAACTGAATAGTTCTCAGGAGTCAATGATATTTTCTTGACTTGGTGTATCAGAAGCATAAAACATCTGGGTTTCCACAGCCAAAATATTTTAGTAACAAGTGGTAATTATTACTATATTACTATGATAAAACTATTCTTGGGATGTCATCGTGCATGGGTGTGGTACAAAAGATGAGGGACTAGAGTGGCATTAGCTCTTTTTAGTGAAGCCTTAAGTATAATGTGAAAAATGCACAGTGATTAATGTTTTTGAACTCTGCTTAAGAGGAAAAGTTAAGACTTGTGCAGATTTTTTTAAGTACTATCATTTAAAGCAAAACATTTTTATAAGATGTACTTGTAACAATACTGCCAAGAAACTAAAACAGGGATGAGATGCAATGTTAAGGTCATTCTGAGAATGATGAGGTCATATTGCGACTGATGTGAATACATAGAATTCCACTTATATCTTCTTACTTCAATATTTAAGCCTATTTATGTTTAAGGACACCCTGAAATAACATCAACAAACTGACACTTTTGTCAGTTAATATGCTGTTCATACTGAAAAATGAAAAGAACCGAAGTGCTTGTTAGTGGTATCAAACATGCCCTACCTTGTCCTTCTGGCATAATCTCAGACTTCAACTAGAGAGTCTTAAAACAATAATACTGAATAAACACTGACAGTGAGACAAAATCTTGTGCCAAAAGATCAACATATTCTGACAGGCTGCACACAGTGACAAGAGGAATGAAGTGAATATCTTTTACACAGAAACAAGCAATGGGTTCGCTTGTTGCTTAACCCTAGTGATAAAACATTGAGATCTGCTTCTAGCTATACAGTTTTTTAAAGCTCATTATTTCAGGAAAAGTGTTTCGGCAACTTAGAGCCTAGAGTGGAAAGATAGATGCGGAAAAACAGCAAGACAGGCCTCCTCCCGTCCACCTCCAGGTAGGACCCCTGTCCTGTGTGCACACAAGCAATTAAATTAAAGACAATTAAAGACACCAGTTAAGCGACTGTAACCGACATGTCTTTGGAAGGAGGGAATAAACTGGAACATCTAATAAACTGGAACAAACTGGGAATAAACAGCGTACGTCTTCCTGGAACAAATCCAGGAAGACGTACGCTCACCACACAGAAGGATCCCCATTCTGTAATCCCAGAACCCAGGACCCAGGAGCTACAGGAATACAATATAAATTAATTTATGTAGATGAAATAGACTAACAATTTTGAACTTAGCCGGAGATGTCTTTCAAGTTGTATATTTTATTTCCCTGAACATTAGGTACTTACATCAGATATTTCATTTATTAATAGTTTTTCATTGAAACATTTTTAAAGCAAACAGCAGCATTTAAAAAATACACAGGGCACTGGGACGCAGGTCATCACAATGGTGTTTGCTGTTTATTTAAGTATCTAGCTCCTTTGCGTTTAAAATGTTATGGTAGGAATGATGTCTTAATTTGCAGTTCATGTCTCATCATATTTAATACTCATGCAGGAATTAAAAGGCACAACAAATGCCATTAATTCCAGTGCTCATCTGTAGCGTTTCGGGCAGCACGGTGGCACAGTGGTAAGCAAGGGCCCTGGAGTCAGTTCCAAGGGTGGACTTTTGTATGTTCTCCTCACGTTTAGGTGAGTTTCCTCCAGGTGCTCAGGTTTCTTCCCACAATCCAAAATGATACTGGAAGGTTAACTGGCTTCTGGGGAAACCGGCCCTGGTGTGAGCATGTCCCATGTTTGTGTCTGTGCGCGCAATTCATGGTGTGCCGTCCGGGGTGTACCCAGCCTTGCACCCATTGCTTGTTGAGTGATGTTCAGTAGTATTGTGTCCCAGCAGCAGATCCCACTGCACAGCAGATCAGCAAGAAATTGCTTTACAAACTGAATTAAGGTACAATGTTGAGTAGGCTCCATTTTTCCAGCCCAAGTGGGAACATAGCCAAGGTGCAAACTATGTTCTTATTAAGAACTTATTCTGATTAATAGTGCTGTTGCAGTTTTAACAATCAAGCATTCAGATCACTATACTGGGGCTATTAGTTCAGAAATTTAGGTTCAGAGGGAAGAGTCTTACCTACTGATCCACCAACACCACCTATAGCAACAACAATGTTTCCCTGGAGCTCTTTTATTGCAGTACTGATCAGGCCTAGCCTTGCTTTGTCTTCTGAGACCTGAGAAGATCAGGCTATAAGGTGGTAAGCCTGCTGTCTTCATTTGCTAGAGTGCACATAATACTAAGTTTAAGGTTTAAAGGTTTAAGGTTTAAGGTTTAAAGCAGTTGTTGGGATCTGAGCTTCAGTTCGGATGGGAGTTAGGGGAAGGCCATCAATTAGGGTAAAACTCTAGGATAAGGGTATAGGTTATTAATACTGATTGGTTATAAAAACATTTACTGTATGTTGTTATAAAATGTTATGCCTCAAGAAGCCTAATTCAAAGGAAGATTTACCCAGTTTCTTTTTTCTCTTTTCATTCTGTGATATCTTAGTCTGGATAGTGAATTAAGAAATAAATGGGAAGACAAATGTAGTGCCACCAGGTTTTTTTGTAAAAAAAAAACAACAATTCTTTTCAGTATTTGCAAAAAGATCCTGAGCATCTCTTTTTGGTCTCTTCTTTCCCCTTTTTGTAGAATGTTGCAGAACAACCAGCTGAGGCAGGTCCCCAGCGAAGCACTTCAGAACCTGCGAAACCTTCAGTCTCTGTGAGTATCGAAGCTGGCACCGTTGAAATCGAAGAAGTGGCCCTTTCAGCTCTCTTCACAATAGGAATGAACAGGCTGACTGTCAGTATCTCATCTTATAAAAGGAATCGCTGAGAACCAGGAGGCTATCAGTCTGGTTTCAGCGCCCATTCTTTGTCGTTTACCGGTCGAACTCTGCTAAAAGTGGCTCTGCCTTTTAATTATCATATGAAACGAGGGATAGAGACTGGGGAAAGGGGGAGCTGGAAATGAGTCCAAATGAAGCTTTGCCCAAAAGAAAGCTTACCTTTGATCATTAGAGAAAAGAAGGAGGGAGAGATAAGGAAGCTCAATACAGATTGCCTTTCAGGGTAGTCAAGCTGGAATCCATCCTTTCTTTTTTTTTAAACACATACAAAATATCTCAGTAAGATCACATTATTCCATAAGCATTCTGTCCTAAGACAGGTCAAGCAAACAGACTGGCCATTGTTGCGGCCTCAAATTTGGATGCATGTTGTACAGGGTTTCCTCAATTACATGACAGCTTCTCTTCTGGTGCCTTTGTTGCTTAAATGCTACCCTCTGAATAAGGCTGGAGCAGTACAAAGCCCCAGGGTTATGTTGTCAAAGTAAGTGAGTGGTGTTCAGTAACCATTAATATCCCGAGCAACACTGGTCAATAGAGAACGGGGAACAGCTGTACAATGGAAAGACAGGTACAGTGAGGGCTACTGTAAGGATACATAATAGGTGTTGTGAGTCTAAGAGATCCTGCTCATTGTGATCTTCCAAAAGTATTAGATTCCTCTCAAAACAAAATCAGAAGTAAATTTTTTTATAGTTCACTTCTGGCTCCTTTAGCACTGTGGCTCTCTTTGTTGTTTAAAATTATATAAAACAGTTTGACACAATTACAAATTGCTCTGTTACTTTTTTTTTAAGTCTGCACATAGTGTTTTCCAAAGGAGGTAACAATTGCTGGCACTAACTGTACTGTATGGAGAGGAAAATATTTGTGAAGTTGAACAACATCAGCTGAATGCTAGACTGGAAGTACTATTTTGTAAAAGCTGGCTGGGAAAAATTTGAATGCACATGTAAAGAGATGAAAGCCTGACCAAAGTGACTAGCTGTATCAGCTAGCGCGTCATTGTGCTTTTTTGATGGGATTTCGAAATCATTAAGTTAGTAATAGAGAGTCTTAAATGGGTTTAAGGAATTCCTTTGAGTGAAAGTGGGAACAGTTTTTCAAGATGGGAATTCTTTAGGTGTAATTTTCCATCCCAGCTTTCTCACTGGGTGTGTCTCTGGCCACCAGGTAACTCTTTGTTGGTTAGTGCTGTCAACTGTAATGTGAGAGGAAAAACAATTAGAAAAAAAATGGTTACTAGATTGCTATCATATAGCCAGCAGAGACTGTATATTCTTCTAAAGTAGAGCTGGTTGTATTTACAAATTACCATTTGCTCATCTGATGAAGTCTTGTCAAACCCAGAACCACTGATTCTTGACTGTGTATAATTAATCAATTTTTAAAAGGATAAAGTGATTTTTCCACCTAGTTATAATTTACTTAAGTGATTATTTTAAAAATAATTTTGCAGTGATATCACTTTTCATTTCCTTTCTCTGAAATGTGTTGTCAATTTGAAGTTCTTACAATTATTATTTCTAATTTTCATTATTGTGTTATTTCCCTTTGTGGCTGTGTGAGAGCTTTGTAACATTTATAGGCATAACAAAAACAAAAACTCTTACGATGTATAGATTTTCCAAAATAAGTCATAATTATTACAAAAATGTCACCCAAATGTTCGTCTTAGTGTTAAAAAGACATCATAATCCCATGTCTGACTGTGGTTCATGACTGATAGGGTTGAGCTCACCTACCACACACAGGCAAACCACACACTCTGTCTTTGACTCTTTATTAGGGTCTCATTGCTTAATTAAGCTTCCTGAAACATACCCCAACTCTCCATGCATTTTGTTCATAAATGCTATTTTCTTGTCAGAACTTCAGTCATGGAAATGTTTAATATGTCTGTTGAAGGCATGGCGAATCAATAGTTAGGATAAACAGTGATCATCAATGTTTATATATACCATGCAAAAGTTCACACGTTAGACCGGAGATTTGTGCTCACCAGCAAACAAACTAGATGTCTTTCTGCCAGAAACCTATGTCAGAAAACTATGTCCCTAAAGCAAATGTCAACACAAGAAATTAAGGAAATTACTACCATGCAGCTGAAGAATGCACAGACCTCCCTGCTAGAAGATGTCTCTTCTGGGAAAAAAGAAGGTAGAGAAAACTATATCTGTGCAAAGGAAAATGAGAACTCTCAGTTCAGCTTTTCGTTCTTTTACTCCCAATTGGCAGGTCATTTCAGTAAGCACAGTTCCCTGTTTACCAATTAGTACTGGGCCATATCATTTTCAGAATACAGTAGGTACACACAGTGTATTAAGTCCGCAACCTTACATTCCTCGGGGGAAAGTTTGTGGACAGTTTGTGTTGTGGAAGACAAACTGCTTTGTGAGATTGCAGGGGTCAAACAGTGTATATAGGAAAAGGGCTTACTGGGCCACTTTCAGAAAGATTGGTCAAGGTCAGACCACATGTGTTGAAAGTAGTGTTATGTTGTGTACTTGAACAGAAACTAAGAAAGTGCTAGCATTCTATAATGATGTTTATAAGTGAAACTTTAATAGATACTAAAAACAGTGAAATAAAACATTTGTAGATACTGTAAACAGTAATATTCCTACTAACTAAAACTAAGAGTAGAGATGTTACCCCAGTGTCCTGGCCAAATTTCCCCCGGTCTTTACCAATCATGGCCTCCTAATAATCCCCATCTCTGAATTGGCTTCATCACTCTGTTCTCCTCCCCACTGATAACTGATGTGTGGTGAGCGTTCTGGTGTACTATGCCTGCTGTTTCATCATTCAGGTGGATGCTGCACATTGGTGTTGGTGGAGGGGAGTCCCCATTCCCTGTGCTTTTAATGGAATGTTCAGAAAAGCACCATATAAGTGCCAGGAATTATTATTAATTATTCATCCTAACCTAACCTCTTCAGTACTGTATATGTATGGATGCCTCATTGACATTGTATCGAACCTGAAATGGAGTTTGTAATGAACTTTCAGGAGGGATGACAATAACCAAGTTCACTCAGACTCAGCTGTCAGTAATTAGCAATCACTCCTGATGTCATTTCCTCTCCTAAAACACTATAAATACCGTACGTGATCCTCTTCTCTCCCTTGCATACATCTTTTGCATCCCACCTCCACCTGCAGCTGCCCCGTGGTCACTCCTCACTCTGCATGGGGGTCCTGTCCTACTCGTCTGTGGTCAGGAGGTCAGCCCTCAGCCAAGCAGGTTAAACAAGATTTTCACTAAACACTCCATAATCCTTTCACAACACTTTATTCTTGGGTGTTGTTATTCCTGATGAATTAAAAATTAAAAAAATTGGAGACCAATATCATACCTGTTAGACCTCCAGTTATACAACCTAGTATAAAGAGTGACCAAAATAATTGCAGTGAAAGAGGTTTCTGTGAATATCACAGTGCAAAACTGACCTATTTGCTGTATACACAAAAAAGATTAAAAGAGAATAATGCATATTGAAGTTTTAAACCTTGTAGGGAGGTACACTGATGTTGAATGGCCTAGAACTGTATTAGCTCTGGAGGAGTCATCTGTGATAACAGATGCAGAAAAGGGAAACTGAGCAATTCTGGGGTTATAATACAGCTGTGGTGAAAGGCATAGTTGTCCCATTTTTTTTAATATGGAAATATAAAATATATGGAATGCAGTCTGTTTTATTGCTTTATTCTGTCCTGATTTGGAACGGGGGTTATAAATCTTTCAAAGCAGTCCAGGTTATAAGGCAGGACCAATTGGTTAAGACAGTAATTTCAGAAGTTATGTCTCCCAAAGTCTTTCCTAGCCCTTTTTATAGTATCTTTTTATGAAGTGCCCTTTTCATTATATTCTTTGCAAATATTGGTTTTGCATTTCTGTCCACAGAAAAGATTTTATTTTGGCCTTATTCTCTATTATATTTGTTTCCCCCACTACATTGTGATAAGTCTTATCGGACAGTACAGTATGTTAATTTATGCATGAATTCCTGGAGATTTCTCTTTTTCGTTGCTTATTCATACCTGTCACATACATTTGCCTTTGTTACTTTCGGTGAAAGACAGATAAGTAATACTTAATCTCCTTATAAAGAGTTCAGCAATATTTTACTACTTTAATTAAAAATCTGTTGTTGCTCCTCTTGGTATCTTGATGTTTTGTTTATTGTGGTCCATGCTTAAGTTTAAAGCTACCTACAGTACACCTAAAGGAAATTTCAACTAATAAACATTATTTATTGAGCTGTCGTTTGGTATTGTTCATAATTTAAAAGCCCATACTGTATCGCTAAAACAAAAAAGCAGATATTAAAAAATGAATACAGCATTCCAGCTAATTAATTCATATTTCACTTAAAACAACCAAAAACAGCAAATTCCATGAGGCAGGCTTGAAATAAAACTGCACTTTTTTCATTATTATGTTTAGCATGCATGTAACCTTGAGATAGTTTGTCTTAACCATATCCTGTTAAAATAGTTTGTTGAAAGAACCTTGTATTTTTTGTGAAGGGAGCAAACAGTTTTAAATCCTTCTTTGTCAGTTCTCTCTTAGTTTGTCATCCTTGAAAGCAGATTAGACAGTGAATTTCAAAATCCTGTTTTTACATTCTAAATGAAGGCAGGTATTAAATCAAAGGGTAAATGGATTTTTGGAGAGAACAAAGCTTGCTGTATCCTACAGTACCATGTTGTTGTTCTGACATTTTATTCTTCCCCTTTATTCTGAGGAATAGACCTCAGCATTTTATTTACTCATTTTTAAGTCAATGTAAAAAAAGAGTATTTCAGCCATGTGTGCCTTATTATTATACAAGATTTATTTTGTTCCTGTGTTTCTAATTTAAATTGGAAACCCCGAAATCTTAGGTCGTTTGCATACACTGTATACATTTGCTGGTTATTTTCACCTTTGTGGAAGTATTTGGAAGTCATTCCAATAGTTGAACGCTCCTATCAAACTATGAAGTAGAAGTTAAAATGATTCATTGAAGTAAGGTATCTCTGAAATAGGATGTTATTCCAAAATTAACCGAGCTAGTTAGTAAACCTAGCTATACTGTACATTTGTTCCTTCTTCCGTATATATGACTAACTGAAAAAAGGCTATTTGTATTATATTTCCATGTTCATTTCCCAGACGCTTGGACGCCAATCATATCTACAGTGTGCCACACAACTGCTTTGATGGCTTGGTGGGTCTGAGACACCTGTGGCTGGATGACAACTCCCTGACAGAGGTCCCCATAGAGGCTCTGAGCAGCTTATCGACCCTGCAGGCTATGACATTAGCCCTGAATGAAATCACACACATCCCCGACCTTGCATTTGCAAACCTTTCCAGCCTGGTTGTCTTGTAAGTATGAGATTGTTCGTTTTACAGCATTAGCGATTTGTCGTTCTTTAAGCTAACTTTAAATGTGAATGGTGTTTAAAAGGTGAGCAAAAGAAAAATCCAAGGAGAAAAAAAACAATCAGATCCTGTTGCATAGCAGTCTTGGATCCATTCCAGGTTTGAAAAGCCATAGGCTTTTCTATAAAACAACTCCAGGTGCTGGATATTATACACTAAGATTGTTATCTCATTACTAGCAAGTTTAAACAGACAGATGCATACACTTAAATAATATTAAGCATATTGCTTTGTGGCTTTTTTTTGTACATTTTTTACAAGCACCTGCACCTAGTAAACACTAAAATGGATAAAACACCTAGGCAGTTGGAGCTGGCTTGATCCTGAAATTCAAATGATTCATTATTATTTAATCATCCCCATCTCTTCCATCAAACTATAGATCAGTGCTCCTCCGAAGCCTTGCGTATACCCAAATCTCATGCCCTGCAAACTCCTTCACTGAAGAACTTTGCAGTGGTGCTTTGGGATTCCTTAAATCTTTTTGGGGGGTCCTGTTGGTCTTGACCTCATGGGCAGGCTCATCCTGGTGCCAAATAAACTTTTAATACATTGCATTAATTAGCATTTTACCAATCTACTGAATATGTGTTACACTATGTGTGTTTTTTCCTGATATTTTTATTGTACATAGCAGCTAACAGGTCTGCTTTGGATCATATTTGTGTAGTGTCTACAAAAAAAGTGCATGTGTTTTTAGGCAAGACTCTTTTCATCTACAGTATAAAAGGCCTTAGGTATAAAAATATACTCCTTTAGTTTAACCAGCTTTTACCTTGACAAGATCAGGTAAATAAGTCACAGTTTTAATACAAGGTTTGTTCTCCCCTTACAATGACCATCTCATTGATCTGACCAGAGTTCTGATGTAGAGGAATGTCGTGCTCTGATGAGTTTCCAATCAAACAGACAACAAATGGAGTCCTAGAGATGCACAATAGCCTTCAAACTCCTGTAGAAGGCAAACCACTAATCTGTATAATCAAGCTGACATTGTCAAACCTATAAATAATCACCTGAATGAATGTCTGGAGACTTCATCAAATTCTAAGGCAGAATATCCCTGCATTTAATGAACTTAATCAATGTTATCACTCAATCAATGCTTTTTCCACAAAACATTTTTTGTAACTTTGTATTTTTGTGCTTGTAATAACTAAACCATATTCATAACTGAATCACGAAGTTTGATTTAACAGTCACCGTGTAGTTAATTCTGTTCAAATCACAGAAACTGATTGTGAAATGAAACAGCTAATCGTCCTTGTTGGTCATGCACAGCGGTTAGTTATCAGTGTTTATCTTGGCAAATGTGTCATCATTTACACTTGTTACAAGCATGACTATACTCTGTCACAGATGTACAGTATGAAGCCTTTAAACATAAATTAGAAAGGATGTTTCTTTTGAATAAAGAGAAATTTTAAATGCCTGTCTCAAAGTGTCCCTGGGAATATGGAGCTTTATGCATATCTGAGACAAACTAGCTGTATTTCTATGTTATGCTAGTATTTCAACACTTAGCTCTCGAGATGCTTAAAACACATCTTCAACAACTTCAAAGCAGTGAAAACAAAAAGAAAACAAAAACACGAACACTAGCTCTATATGGGCTACTTAGTGTGTATAGCAAGATGCAGAGATGTGGTTTCAGTCCAGCACTGTTATGTGAAATCCAGTTTATACAGGTCAGTTTAGCAGGCCAGAGTTTCAGGACACAGATGTTTACTCCTTGTCCCAATGGGCAATGTGAGTTGAAGGTTTATGTGATGCTGGACCCATGTTGCTGCAGAAAAGAAGTTACATGCCGCTGCATGACACTAGTCCTGCAATGCACATGGAACGTTTCTGAGCACTTTATGTGTGGAGACACTTACTGTAGTTCTGACAAAACTGAAAACATCCAGGGTACTGTACGTGTGGTGCCACAACTCATGGCAGTCCCATCATTCTCCTAGATCTATATAAGGAGTTGGTCTCTTCACAATGACAAGACAAATCAAAGGGCAAAAATAGGCTCAGTGTTGTAAGCAACCCCAAATGACTGAAGAGTGCATAATTAGAAACGCTGAGGTCAGCAGAGAGAGTGATTCATGCTGTCTGAAAATGCTTTATCCAGTTATTCACAAGGCTTCTAACCTGCATATTGGAATTTCAGTACTGACATGTGAAAAATACAGCATGCATGTCTTGCTGTTTGATTGCTTTTGCTGGAGATCATCATCTAGCTGTAAACGTATTCCCGTGATGATTTTCCAAGGTCTCGTGACCATGGAGCTGTCAGAGCTGTGCCTTGACCTCTGTTTCTGATTGTTATTTCTTTGTGAGGGAAGTCTGATCTCACCTTGTCTACTGTGTGTTTTGTTATGTAGAGAATTATCATGTCATGTCTGATCCACTGTATGTATAATGTGCGTATATGTATACATTTGTTTATTCATTCTTTTAACTAGACGTTTATGAGCACATAATGCAGTTGCAAGCCTGTCTTTACTCTGACACAGATACACAGTATATACTGTAAGCCTTGTTCTTGAAAAATGATCCAGTGAGCATTCATTCTTTTGTATAATCATATAATGTAGTAATCCAAAAGTGCTTACTAAGATTTTAAAATAATTGTAAAAGTGGAGTGTACAGGTAGCATAACAAGGCATACAATATGTATATACAAAGAAACAGGTAAAGGTATATTCCATGGTGAAAGGAAAAGAAAAGAAAAGAAACACTAAGTTTTGGCTGTGAAGATTTGTTCAGGTATGCACAGAAGAAGGCTCAACAGCTGAAACTTTGTGTTTCTTTTCTTTTCTGCATGGATTAAACCTTTAGCTGTGCATGTGCAGTCTAAGGATGCTGACGCAGCTACCTGCTTGAACATCTATATGTTATGTTATGTACAGGACTATACTTACATTTTCTTCAGAAAGTATTCATCCCTGATCCAATTTTTTTAGTGAACAAAGTGTTCACCCCTGAGCAAATATTGTTGTATTCTGACCAGAATTTTTAATGCATTTGAATGTTTTTTCCCTTCATTAACACAACATAGCTATTAGAAACTGAGTGGCTCTGTATTATTTCCATTCCTAATGATGACCCTGACTGGGCTCCAAAGAACTTTTAACACACTAGATATAACCTTCTCACAACTCCTATCAGAGTTGTACAGACAGCTCCTTGGTCTGCGTGATAGAATTTCTGCTATGATATGCACTGAGCAACTGAAGGATCTTGTATGAGGGACCTTATGTAGACAGGTGTATTTTTTTCTCAAGTCATTTCAAACAAATTGAACTGACTACAGATGGATTCTATTGAAGTTTAAAAGGTGATCTTACAAGGATATTATGTAAGATAAGGATATTATCTTACAAAGATATTAGATGCATCTACTGTAGGCTTAAGTTGGATCGTCATGTCAAATCATTTCAGTTTTTTCAATTGCATTTAAAACATTTCCAAAACTTTCATTCCACTTTGACATTACAGAGTAATTGATGTTAATCACTGGCAAAAAAAAATCTCATATAAACGTATTTCCATTTGAGTTTGTAACATAACAAATGGTGAAAAAATCTCAAAGGGGTGAATATTTTCTGAAGACACAGCAGAGTTGGCAAATAGCCTTGCATGCCTTGCATAACCTCTTTCTGTATTTTTCCTAGAAATAAGCCCTGCAAAATATATTTTATTGGTATCATTAATTTAAGCAGCACAGTACAATCTAAGCAGAAAAATACAATTTTTGTAAAAAATATTTTAAAAGACCTAGTAAAAAAATGTGTTGCATGTTTTTGTTCAAGTGTGTTTCAAAAAGAAAATGAGATTCAAATAAATGCCTTCTGTTAAAACCCTAGGGGATTAATGTACAAGTTTCAACACATATCACATGTAATGAGAGTACAGAATACAAAAATATAATTCCACAAGTTCCATGATAATTGCAGTCTAAGTTTCTGTCTATATAAATGTGTCACAAAGCCACTGAAAGCTTTATAAAAAAGTGAAATAGTGAAAACATGGCTGGTTTTGACAAAATAATGCATTCACCAGTTTAAAACCAAGGAGAAAGTTAGAAAAGTTCATGATAGAAAAGGAATAATTATTTTTTTTTCATTACGACAACATCATATCAACAATGTAGGATAAAATACTGCCTCAGAGAAAATGGGAAACATTGAAGTTGATAAAAGAGAAATGACAGATGTAAAATGGATACTGTACTTTGCTCAGATGTTCAATGAACAAATCAATAACTTGTCTCGGGCTGAAGAAGTTCTCTATTAAATAATGTTAGCATAGAAGAGACAAATGTGTTTCATATGAAAGAAACACTTATAGATAAATACATCATCAAGGCCAGATGGTGTTTTATCAATTGTACTTAAAGAAACAAGAACTATTATTCATAGCCTGATAGCAAAGGTCTTCCTACAGTCTGACAAGTAACTAAAAATAGTCTTCAACAGAGAAGACTACAAGGAAACCTGATTGAAGTATTTAATGTCCTCAAAGGCAATGATAAACTAAACCCATTGAACCTTTTCATAGCGAGCGATAAAACACCAACCAGAAAACACTGGTGGAAACTGTGGGGAAGCACTTTTAAAACAGAACAATGAGAATGAGAATCAGTATCATTCTTTAAGAAACAGCTATATCACAGCTTCCAAGACAACTTGTCTGCTAAAAACCAAATGAGGAAGATGAGCCAAATGGCATCTTGTTTCCAGACTTTCTTATTTCTTATAGGGATTTATACACCTGTTTGAATTAAGATAATTTACCTGGAATCTTCACTGTTTCAAACTAGGATTATTATTTTTTTCAATAAACATTAAAAAGATATTGCTGAAAGATAAATACAACTTAATAAAATAATTGCTCAAGGTGTATAAATGTGTAGTGATTTTACTGTTAATTAAATATGTCACTTTCTTCTTATGTATGTGAATAAGCAATGTCGAAATAAAAAGGAAAGTAACTTTTAATTTGGAAAGTAACAGTTAATTATCAGGTAATTTCAGGAGTAGTGTAGGAGTGAAGCTACAACTTTAGATAGGTAACTTTTTATTGTCTACTGTGTATTTTTTAAGCTGCTAACAGGATGTTCTCATCTCTTAAAAGAGGGGTACTGCCAGAGACAAATGTCTGTTGTTTATTAGAAACATAAGAACACATCTTTCTCATTTGGTTGCTAGTAGAATTTTGATTCAAGGGTTTTGGTCAGAACCAAGGATGGACAAGTTATTCCACACTTGCACAACACGAAACCAGAGGATGACAATGGAAAATGTGCAAGTGCATTTAAAGAAGAAGAGGCATTTCTTTTCCCAAGAGAGAGTGGGAATATGGAACAAGCTTTTTCAAGAAACTGGATGGTGTGCTTGGGTCAATTAGCTGCTAACTACTAAATGGGCTAATAGGGCCAAATGAGCTCTTCTTGTTTATGACCCTTCTTGTGTTTTTATGTTCTAAACAAATTGTATCAAAACATAAGAAAAGATTAAGTACCTAGAATTAATTAAATCCACTATCTGTAAATAAACATTTGGATTTGAAGAGTAATTATTAAGACAGTTATTGTTCCTGCCATTTTTCTGTTCTTTCTCAACCATTAGCAAGAATTATACCGTGTGGCATCAGGTCAACAGCTAAACCTGTGCAGCCTGCTTTAGTACTGTTCTACGTGAAGTAACCTGTGGTGGTAATTATAATGTAACACTATAGTTATTTCTTGGGGTGCAGGAAGGAAGTAGCCCAGTTAATTCATCACTTTCAGGAAGATAGAAATGGTAAGTAGGGGAACCAGTTGTTTTAAACGGGCTTCCGCTGCTCTGATACCACAGCAGCCTGAGGGCATCCATTGAAACCTCAACCTCCGGTGGCTTACAGTGCTGGCAATGGCTTTCACCTCTTCAGAGAGAATTAAGAACCAGTTATAAAGAGATGCTCAAAACGAAATCCTCTCAATGCCTGGTTTTAGGACTCTTTATGACGAGCTTTACTATAGTTTCACAGCCCGAAGAGAAAACTTGGCCCAGAAACTTGCAAAGCTTCTGGGATGAATTTTATTTTTTAATGTGTCACTGGTGTGTGTACTGACGTGGCATTGTGAACATAATATAATATAAATGCCGAAAGACAACATGATGCGAAGTGTATCGTGTATGAGTTTAGTTTACATCTTATGTCAGGGAAAAGATAAAGAACCATGCATCTTCAAAATAAAATATTTTAATGCTTTGTTTTCTAAATTGTAAGTGAAACTGTTGATTTTTTTTTTCTGGGTAATAAAAATGTTTTTGTGATGTGGCTGTTGTGATCGCAAGAATGCTGTCAATTAGAAACAGAAGGACCTTGATCCATGGTTCATACAACCATGTAATATTAATTTTCTTGTTTGAGTCAATAATGGCTGAAGTTTGAACTCAAAATCTCTTGGTTCCATCACGGATCTCCTGGATTCCTTTTGCCAGACTTGTTTATTTGCCTGGCTCAATGTTTGTGTTGAGAGAAGGAACAATCTTGTCCTTTGAAGTCCTGACTGTTGACGTTACATATACAGTTGGCATGACTTGCATGAAATGAGCGTGCCATATATAGTACAAGGCACTTCTTTTTATTATTTTCACACTCAGCCAATGGGAAAAGTTTGCTCAGGCCTGCTGGGTGCATTGTGCTTTTTCTGACTGTGCTTTTAATGTTCCCCTACAGACATCTCCATAACAATAGAATTCACTCCCTGGGAAAGAAATGCTTTGATGGGCTCCACAGCCTCGAGACTTTGTGAGTTGACCTCTGACTTGTTTAAATTTTAAATGTTTTCATTAAAATGCAGAAAGTATGAGCAAAATGGCATAAAATGCAGACAAACACATACAGCATGAGTATTCTTACTTCCAATAAATCTCCATACAGGTGCAGTATTATTGGCCCACAAGGACCACTCATCTAAATATATTTAGCCAAGATTAACCATTTTTGGTACAGGAAACCATTTAAGTGCAGATCAGACTTCATCTGATTTTATCTGCTCTGGAAAACTAGACCTATGGTTTATTTCCTTGTAGTCTGCTCAGTACTGTTTTCCATTATTGTAAATCTGTGACGTACTACTGTTGGGATTTTTCAAGCCATACAGTATGTGTAATTAGAATTTGAAAACAGATTGTAAAAAGATCAAGTTTAATATTCTAGATTTTGTGGTCCCTTAAACTGCCTTGCAGGAACTGCTTGGCAAATCGTGAAATTAAGTTTGTCCATCAAAAGGGATTTTGAAAAGCATCTTTTTTAAATAACTTGATGGATGGATAGAACCCTGTACAAATATTTTTGGTTTTCAATACCTGGTTGCATTATTTATTGGATGTGAATTTTCTCAATTGATATATAAAAACCTAATTCATTTAAGTTTATTTTTAATTGTTGGAGTAATACCATGTAGTATAATGCTTATTTTATTTAACTGCAACAAAATGCAACTTGACAAATTCATACACATAAGTGTTGCTGTTATAGCTTGATGCGTGACATTTGCAAACCATTTACTACAGAAGTGTCATTTTTCTGTTTTTATTTTTTGATGATATAGTTTTAAATGAATAATACTGACATCGAAAGCTCGTTTATATTTTAAATAGTGAGTAGATGTGTTACGAGTTCGGTAATAGGGACCGAACCAGTGAGTGAACCCACTTGCAGGAGCGAACAAAGCCAAGTCGTAATCCGAAAGCAAACCGTAATCGTAGGAACAAGCCGAGAGTCCAGGGGGAGCAAGATATCCGAAAGGGAACGTGTACCGAAGCCGAAGCGTGATCCGAAGTCGTAGTCCGTAGAGCAATCCGAGAATCCAGAGGTAGCCAGTAATCCAAGACAGAGCGAAAGTACCAATCCAAGCCGAGATCCAAAGGGAAAAACCGTAAGCCGAAATCCAAGACAAACACAGAGCAGAAGAAGCGCAACCAGGAAGCTCGATAGGGAAAACCAATACTGAGCAACGAGGTAGGGAAGGACAGGTGTTTAAGTAGGATGAGACTGGGGTGTGGTGGTGAATGGGAAAACTGATAGGTGAACTGATGGATAGGGGCTACACCTACTTCTGCCTCCTCCGTTGCCGAGAGGCAGGGATCGTAACAAGATGCTGAGCTCACGTAGTCATGAAGTCAAGTGATTTGATAAAAACAACAACTTGTTTTGTACTTAGGTCGGGTTAAAATGTCCAGAATCAGTTGATTACATATCTGTGTAAATATCAATTCAATTTAATTGTAATTTTGAAAAACACAGGAATAGTATAATATAATAGTATAAGTCAATCCACTAGTATATAATAGTATAATATATGAATTTGAACAATGAAGATATGTCAGTTTCTATCAACATGATTGACTCTGTGGGAAAGCTTTCCAAGAAGATAAGATGTTCTGCTTTGACAATCAGCATATGATTCCAGATAAACCAGGAAATAGATTCTGTGAGGGACAGTCCGCATTCTAGAAGGCAAAGGGTCACCACTTCAGCCCAAGACCATCTGATCCATCCACATAATTGATTTTTTAGTGTAGTGGCTACAGCACAATACATTTCTCAGAGATTTAACCTGCACATCAAACGTATGAGTGGATCTCTCCATCTGCCTGCTGAGATGCCATTCAGTGGTAACATATTTACAGCAACCTAAAATTGCCATCTTCTCTGGACCAGAGAACATCGAAGGTATTAATACAGACTTAATGACCACTAATACAGTATATGTGGCAACATCATGATGATTGGTGACTTTTACTATTACATTAATAATTATAATAATTGCTCACAGCACTTTTCTGGACACTCCACTCAAAGCACTTTACAGGTAATGAGGACTCCCCTCCACCACCACTAATGTGCAGCATCCACCTGGATGATGCGACAGCAGCCATAGTGCGCCAGAACGCTCACCACACACCAGCTATCAGTGGGGTGGAGAACAGAGTGATGAAGCCAATTTATAGATGGGGATTATTAGGAGACCATGACTGGTAAGGGCCAATGGGAAATTTGGTCAGGACACTGGGGTGACACCCCTAATCTTTTTGAGAAACGCCCTGGGATTTTTAATGACCACAGAGAGTCTGTACCTCCTGAGTCTAACATCTCACCCAAAGGACGGCACCATTTTACAGTATAATGTCCCCATCACTATACAGGGGCATTAGGATCCACATGGGCCGCAGGCTGAGCACCCCCTGCTGGCCCCACTAACACCTCTTCCAGCAGCAACCTTAGTTTTTCCCAGGAGGTCTCCAATCCAGGTACTGACCAGGCTCACGCCTGCTTAGATTCAGTGGGTCACCAGTTGTCAGTTGGTCAAGCCAATGTACGATGTACAGTAGATATCGGTGCAGATTGAGGACAAAATTACTGCTCATTATTACACTAGCAAAGTCCTTGATTTTAAGGTTCCTGCAAGCCAAGCTGAAAGGCATTGGTTTTCCAGCAGGACAATGTGAGATCGTTGAATTACAATGATGTGACTTCAAGAACAAAATGTCAAGGTCATACTGTGGACAGCTTTAGTTCCTGACCTGAGACCAACAGCAAATCTCTGGGACCAACTTGCCAGTATTATCAATAGGACATGATCATATGCAGCCAACCTGTTCCAGCTGGCTAAGTTTATAGTGGCAGAAACCTCCACAGCAGTCTGTTCAGAGGCTGATCAGGTCTAACCATGAATGTTTTTAAGAGTGTGTTAGTGCTCACGGAAGTCACAATGCATGAAACTTTTAATTATTTTTCTTTTTGACTGTGTCTTATTTTACACTTGAAACTTAACATGTTTTTTTAATCTATTTTAATCACATTTTCTGTGATTGTGATTGATAGTGGTACTAATAGGCCTAACTGAACACGTACTGTAGATAAAATGATTGAGGTACATATTCATTGTATACTTAGAAAATGCTGGTCCTTCTGTTAAAAAACTAATTAACTGACCTCATACAGTATATAACAATATCTACCCATATTTATTATGCAGTTTGCAATGAAAGTTCAAGATGGATAACAGCAGCCAAGCTTAATTGACCTCAGCTGTCCTAACTCATAATCATTCCTGACGTCACTTCCTCAATGAAAAAAATATAAATACTATATTTCTTTCCTTCGCATTTTTTTTATATTTCTCCTCCAAACCATCTCCACCTTTGGAGTCCCACTTAGTCACTTCTCACTCTGCAAGCGGGTCCCAGCCTCCTTGTCCAAAGGCCAGAAGGAGGTCCCTCAGCCAAGCAAGTTGAGCCAAATTTACTCTGGAAAAACACTCAACAAATCATTTTTTTAATACACTTAATTCTTGGGTGTTGTTATTCCTCATGAATAGTTATTTCATCAATAGTTACTGTATATGAAATTTTCAGCACTCTGAGTTTAAAAACAAAAAGTTCAGGAGACCCTAATCTCTCCCACTTCTCTTAGTATCACATTTCTTGCTTTTTTCACATTTTTCTTACACCTCTCTTCCCACCCCATTTTGAAGCAGCTCCCTGGCATATCATTCATTAAACGGGGGGTGGCAATAGCCCAGTCCTTAGGAACGTGTTGTCCTTGTCCTTAATCAGGCAATACAAAACAATAAAAGCTCATGAATTTGCATCACTCCTCAGCGCCGTTTAAATTAGGGTTAGTATGTACTACTGAAATACTTGTTCAGCGTCAGAGCTGTTGCCTTGCGTTTCTTTAATCATGCCGTATCATGATTAATCATGCTGGGGGCCCTGGATTCAATCCCTGGAGTGCTGTCTGCATGGAGTTTGTATGTTCTCCCTGTGGATTTTCTCCAGGTCCTCCAGTTTCTCACACAGTCAAAAAAAAACATACTCTTTGTTATACTGATACAAATATCGAGGTGGGTTAATTGAGTTCTTTGAAATTTCGGCCTAGGTGTGAGTGTGTGTGTCTGTGTTTGTGTCTGTCTGCCCTGCGATAGACTAGCATCCTGTCCATGGGTTGCTCTGCCTTGCACCTGTTGCTTACTGGAATAGGCTTCAGCTCCCCCTGCAAGCCTAAATTGGAAGAAGGGGTTAGAAAATGGATGTGCTGTATGCCCACAACACCATCCGTTTGATAAAAAATATATTTTATTATGCGAATGATAACATTTACATGATAGAATAAAAAATAGCCCTGAAACAATCGCTCTGGCTACTGTTACTTAATGCTGAAAGCTAAATCCTTTGTTGTTATCTCTGAATGTGCAGTCACAGCTTTACAGTCATTACTGTCCATGCTAGTGTTAGTATGGTATGTATTTGGAGGCTGTTCTCTCTTCAATACAAAAACTATTCATGACAAGGCTGCATGAGTAAGCTCATTTCCTGTGTACATTTAATGCTTATACAGTATTATGAGTGTCTAACCCAAACAGACCTAATAAAATTAATGTAGTATATTTGTTTCCGTATACTCAAATTAAATTTGTGGTTGAGCAAATAATACCTGTTAACGCCCTTTCCGGCCAGCTTAATACCACATTGAAATCATTTTAATTTAATAGTATTTTTTATAAGTTCGTTCCACTGTGTTGACGTTGTGGAAGTTTGCATCTGGCCAAGTAGAGGAGTCACCCTAATGCAGTTGTAATGCAGGACCACCTGTGCCCTAGAAAAGGATCACTGCTAGTAATTGAAAGCATGTGAGGACCTAAAGAAAACTTTCTGTTGATGGGAGCAGGAAAAAGTCAATGGAAAGTGTTGCAAAAAATAGACTGCACTTACTCATCACTATACAGGATGTAGCAGGGATTACATAAGTGTATTACTGGAAACATTTCAAGGAATAAACCACTGTCACAGCCTACATAGGATAACGAGATTGGCACAGCACGTACTACACATGCATACATTCGTGCTCAGAACCAGATAGTTAGCGGCTCAGAGGTGCAAAGATATTGGTACTCCTTGTGTTGTGTCTCCAAGGCTCTAGAAAGATTACAAGACAAAAGTTGGTTCAAAGAAAACAACAAATTTGATACCCTAATTACAGAGATGAAGAAAAACAATGCCGTTCTCTCCCACAGTGTCTCTATACATCATGTTGTGTTTTTGAATGATATTGTGAATACACATTTAGAATCTTTTAAATACATGTTTTTCAGTTGTTTTCAACAGTAGGATTATGGTCCAGTCCCTTTTGTGGGAAACCAAATGTTTTTTTTTTAATCGGTTCAACGGGGACATCAATTACTGGGGGTGTGATGTTCTCACATTTGCTGTTTCAAAGCAGGAAGTGAACCATGATGTGTAATATAAATTGAGTTTGGAGATATCATAACAAAGCCGGAAAGGACATGTCTAGGATGTGAACTAAATCCATATCCTAGTTAATCAAAGGCAGGGAGTTAAGGCCCCTGCTACTTACAAACAGGAAGCCCTTTGTGAGAAACTGTGTTGTTTACCTAGTAGTGAAGGAAAAGTTAGGTAACGCTACAGGAGACTTTCTGCGTACCGCTTAGGTTTATTCCAAAAGTATTTCATAGGAAGCTCCTTTATAACTTCCATACTTTCAGGTGTCTTTCCACTATTTTCTGGACATTGGATGCTGAGAGATTTCTTTTAAATACGTAATGACAAAAGTAGACTTTCTGTGTGTTATTTGTCAAATGAGATTAGTTTTATCTGCTATAAGGTTTGTTGAGGACAAGGTGAAGGTCACATATGTCTAAATTTGTTAAACTATAAAATTCTAAGGGGGTGTACTTACCTTTTTGCCACACAGTACACAGCATAGGATATATACTCTTCTGTGCAGAAATTGAATAATTTCATCTTAATTTTCAACAATGGTTATGCCTTCAAAAGCAGCACTATGGCCATTTAAATTATTCTAGTTGTAATTTACTTTTTTTGAGTTCTTTTTGTTCATCCCCCACAGGGATTTAAATTACAACAATCTGGACGAGTTTCCCGTTGCCATCAAAGCTCTGACGAACCTTAAAGAACTGTAAGTAGATACTGTGTGTTTCTCTCGAATCCACCAATACAAACACTTTAAACCTTGTTTCGTTGACAACAAATAACATATGTTCTGAAATCTAATTTACAGGGGTTTCCACAGCAACAACATCAGGTCCATTCCAGAGCATGCCTTCATTGGAAACCCTTCTCTCATCACAATGTAGGTTCCCTCAATTTAGACAGACAAACAGATAATTACATTGATTAAAAACTCCTGAGATAAAAGGGTCATTCCACTTTCTGTTTTTCTGGTCTTGTTTATGTGATGACTGTCTGGTATACATTAATTAATTCAAATGTATGATCTTTTTAATGACTAATGCAATCCATCTCTCGCATATTCAGTTTAAATGCACTTGTTTTTTGTTTCATTTGATGTACTTACATCAGCCCTGCTTATGTTTAGTTGGCTTTTATGCAGTCATAATTTAGATATGAAAGTTTTATAAATGCCAAGCTAATTTATGTAGGTAATAAAATGTGATATAAAATTTAACAACAGCCACAGTGTCAGCGGTACAGAAATATATTGTTCTCCAATGTAATTCTTAATTTGTAAAACTTTGTAGTGGAATGTTAGCTAAAAAAACATGATAGCAGTCTACAAAGTGTCCAGTACTGTAAGTACAGTGACTGTATTAGTAGTTGGTTAATTGTTAAATATTTACTTATACAACAAATAAATAAGACAGGCATTTCCTGATTCATCAATTAGTACAAAGCAATATTACTAATCTCATACATTTCCAGTACATAAAATCTAAAAAATAACAATTCAGAATGTGATTGGATAGTTGTAATATTTTACTTTTTTTTTTCTAACTTTTAGATATTTTGGCATCACTGTATTTCAAGGCAATAATACATCATCAGTCATGTCTTTTAAACCAGCTTTGTTCTTTGCTGGTGGCTTAAGCCTTGCTCCCAACTCTTGCCACATGTTCGACAGTCTTCTCATATTCTGCTGAAGAAACTCCTACACAGCCTAGAACTGTCCTTATGGTCATTACTTTCTTGATATTTTCAGCCAGTAGCATGCAGCTCCTTACCACACAGGATTCTGCAGTTTTTTTCAATTAACCCATCCCACACTGTGATTTGTTACTGCCCATTACCAGATATAGCTTAAAGTTTGTGTTCCCATTAGTCATCACTCCACCACTAGACCTCCTTGACAGAGGGTACAGCAAACTGTAAATCCTGTGTTTTTTTACAGATTTTTCTATGACAATCCCATCCAGTTTGTAGGGAAGTCTGCTTTCCAGCACTTGCCTGAATTAAGAACACTGTAAGTCAGTTTCTGCATTTACTTAAACAGATACTCTTCAAACATTTGGAGTCTAGTGTAATACATTGCATGCTTTTGTTTGTTTGTTAACAAGCTCTGTCTCTCTCCTGTCTTCTTACCTCCAGGTCACTTAATGGAGCCACAGAAATCACAGAATTTCCAGACCTTACTGGCACCAAAAGCCTGGAAAGTCTGTAAGTTCTTAATTCTGATTGAATAATTTGCATGTCTTATCAAATACAAGTATATGGACTTTTTTCATCAGGCAGTGTTGTACTGTGCCTTGTGTACTTAAACAGATGGATAGAATGAATTTTGAATTTTAATATGAATTAGCTCTCTTCCGATCACAACATTTGTGGATACCCTTTCACTGAACTTACAACCCTTATAATAAAACATTTGGGTGATGCTGACCCATGATTACCTGACATTGCTGGATTTAATATTATCAGTCTGGCTTATTTATGATGAGTAATGTGATGTTGATCTGTGGGTAGAAAGTTGCAAGCGAATGAAGATCAAGAACCACCTTTAGTCGTAATTATCTTATTTGACTTTGAATTAGGACAATCACCGGAGCTCAGATTACCTCTCTTCCCAGTGCTGTGTGTGAGCAGTTACCAAACCTGCAAGTACTGTAAGTTGCTATGCTAAATAAGATTCTGCCTTAAAAGAGCACCCTGGGCTAATACGTTAATGTATTTTTAATAGATCAGTTTGCCAAGAATCATGATTTTGGTTTTTGTTTTTGTGCTTTTTGTTTCTAAAAGGAAATGTTGGCTTTTCCTGCAAACTGGTATCTAGTTTGGAATTAACGTTTTGTGTAATGTACAACATCAGCAGTATGTGTACTAATTTAAGTTTTGGTTTTGCCTTTTCAGGGATTTGTCCTACAATTTGATACAGCACTTACCAAGCTTTAATGGATGCAAAAAGATTCAAAGAATGTGAGTCTAAAAAATTAAAAATGTTACCACAGCCTTTAAATTTCCAAAACTGCAAAACATTTTTTTTTTCAAAAAACAAGGCATAACTTTGAAATTCTTGCTGCTTTGTTTGTGTTTTCAGTGACCTCCATCACAATGAAATTCATGAGGTTAAAGCCAATACATTTCAGGAGCTCACAGCGCTGAGATCCCTGTGAGTAACTGACCGTTTCTTTTGGCAACAACCTTAAATGGGTCAGATATTGATATTGGGGAAAAAAAATAATCATCACACAATAATTAAACTTGGCAGGCAGATGTCATGAGTTGATAGGTTGAAAATTGAGCAGTGAAAGAATAATCCCTTCTGCGGTGTTGTGGAGTCTGTTGGACCCCAGGGCTGTTTTTCACTGTGTAAAGTTTTTGTATCACTGAAGGTCATTTTACACTGAGCCCAATCTGTTATTTACTGTCTGTCATCTGAAAAGGCTTGTGTTTCAACTGTTGCACATTGGATGTATTACATTACATCATTATTAAACATAGTTGTTTGCTCCATTTGCAAAAGTATTGCCGAATGCATAATACTAAATGTTAAAAGCTCAAAACAATTTAACACTGAGTCCACTAAAGTCTTAAAATTGCAGCAGATTATCATCATGGGGTGTTACTACAAACCTCAAAATGAGTCATCCTAAATATATTAGGATGTCAGTGTTTCCCTTTATACAATTACTTATCTTCAAGCATTTTAAAGAATGTATCTGAAAGAAACAATCATGGTGGCAGCCTTTTAATAAATAAGATGGTCTTTTTAATTTTATAAATAACTTTAAGTTTCTTTTACTTGTCCTACATCTAAAATACACATACTTTATAGGCATACAGTATAGTTGGTAAGTGCAATATGAAATGCACTCACTTGTTAAATTATTAATTTCCAACCATTTCTACAATTGAATGTAGGGTCAGATTTAGTGGCTCTGAGACTTTAGAC